AAGTAAATAGGGAGAGTGGCAGGTCAGCGCACGGTGTTGCAGCTGGGGGTGCAGGGGGTATTTGTCATCCAGATCACAGGTAGGAACCCTGAACCCGTAGTGCATGGTGTGAATGTCATCTGTTACAGCACCTTGTTCTTCAAGGGTGCTGGTAGTTGATGGAAACAACTTGGGTGTGAAGTAAATACTCTGCAGTGCGCTTACTTGGCTTATTCTTAAGTTTTTGAGGAGTGGTTGTATCACCCAGCTGGTAGTGGAAAGGAGCTTACAAAAACCTTGGAGTGTGCAGGCTTGCTGTTGGTGTGAAGCAGCCCTGCCAGAAAGCAGATTTAGTTTGTTTCCTTGAGACACTGTTTGAAGAAACCCTTACCAACCTTGTCTCACTTCTTAGAAATTAGTCACATAAAAGGGAGTACTAAGAGGCCAAGCACAATAGTACCTCTTACCTCAGGTTTAAAGTTGTGGAAGAGTTTTACTGTAAAAAAAAAAAAAAAAAAAATTATCGTCATTTTACCCACTGATGATGTAGGTTAAGTTACTAATAAAAGTGTGGCTTATTCAGTTAATCTAAGAGAGAGAGAGAGAGAAAATTAAAATGAGGGGAGAAAAACCCCCCAAAAACCCAAAGAAACAAATCCCAGACTTGCTGCGTGGGTCATTCTTGTTTTTAATTGCTGACATAATGGACAGTAATGAGGGGAAGATTGGACATAGCTCCAGTTGATGAGGGTGTGCCAAATTATTCTACACCCTGAAAGTTCTTGAAATTTGCACCTGTAAAAATCACATTCTGTCTTCACCTGCCCAGTTACAACATCTTTTTGGCAGCTAATAAGTCTTGTAATCTTCAAGATGTCATCTCAAGACAACATAAGAACACTCATTTCCTGTTCTGCTGGTCTTTAAGATGAAATCTAGCTAAAATCACACAGACATTTAAAGGAAAATAGAAGGACAAACGATTATGACCATTGCTGAAGTTTGTAGACAGGAGAAATGTTCCAGCGTGTTGGGGAAATGTGAATTGGACGTCTTGCATCTCGTACTACTTCTCTTAACATCATGGTCTTAGACTCTCTGTATGGCGGAAGGTTGTTAAAACCTTTTTCCACTCATTAAACAGGCAGTGAAAATCTGTAGTATAGAGCTGTGCCTTGGGTTATGTCTGCGCTTCATCAGAGTTGCCATGGTGGCTTTCTGTAGTGGTACTAGCTTTGAAATTGTTAACTTGTGTACTGATAGCAGGGTAGTGCTGACTCTATCGAACTGCCTTTGAACTTGCACAGGTTGTAACCTTTATTTTGGACAGCTAAAGTCAGGCTGTAAGGCCAAGAAGTTGGATTAATTTAATAGAAAGCCTTTCCAAGTTTGGACATGAAATCTCTGAATACTTGAAGTTCAAGTCAGGTCAGCAAATGAATTGTGGTGCAGGTGAGGGAGTTGAAAGCCATCCTGCTTATCCCAGGGAAAAGGGTTTTTCACCAAGGTAATAAAATGGGATGTGAAAGAAGCCAAGTAAAAGGCTGTCTCTTAAATTAAACGCAGGCAAGCAACCATCCATAACCGTCTCTCTTTGTAGCTTCTTTTTTCTACGCTTGTTCTTTGGATGTGTAAGCAGGGTTACAGTCTTGGTTGCTGTGAGCAGCTTGAGAGCTTTGTGTTGTGAAGTGGTGGGAGGGGAAGGATTCCGGTCGCTAATGAAGACTTGCACAGTTATTGAATGTAATTGTAAACTGATTCTTCAAACCCTACAGGAGCAACTGGCTCCTAGTGCTTGGAGTATCACTGCTACTGGCACATACCTGTGATGCTTCTGCCCTCCAAGATCATTCTACCTGAGAATAATTTTAGGAGAAAGGCTAGCAAGCTCTTCTGCACTAATTGGTGAAATTAGTATGAGTGATGGAGCCAAGCAGCATCCTGGATGCTGTTCAAACAGTGAAATTTCGAGTGTTGTGTTGAGTCATGGCCAGGAATATTTCATCTCTCCAGCAATGAGACTCATCCAGGGGTATGCTGGCCCAGGTTACCTGTAAGAGCATGTGTGCTCCTCGGCAGTCCCTGTCACTCTTGGGGCTCCACGGTGTCCTCTGCTGCCTCGCTGTGGAAGGGCAGGGCAGCTCCATGCCTCCAGCTCCCATCTCGCCTGGGGAGAATCTAGCTGGTTCTTGTTCAGGCTGAGCTGCTTGAGATTTTAATATCCCCATTGCGTTTGTTGACATAGTAGTTTGGTCTGTCACAGCTGGTGGAATGACGGTTCGGTTGAATTTTGATCAGAAACTCCTTGGCTGGCTTCTCCGATTCCTGAAGTAAGAGCCTCTATGGGTCAAACTGAGCTTGTGGTGCAGTAAATGAATCTTCCAGAAGGAGCGGGGTTTCAGTGTTCCCAAAGGATCTTGTGTGCAAAGCAGGTGACGGGAGTCTTTTGTTTTCTCCAGAGAAAGCACAGTGCTGAAAATCTGCCTCCTGGCTGGATTGTAATCCCCTCACCCACGGAATCAGCCTACACAATTATCTCAACAGCGTAATAATTGATGTGGATTTGATTGTTAAGTCTCTCACAGATGGATTAGTCTCCTGGTGATCCCGACGGTAGTCTCAAAGCCGGTGTAGCATCTCAGGTGTCGGAGTCGCGCATTAATGGGTTGTGTTCAAGCCCTGAGACTGCTCAGTTTCTTCTTGCGAGGACAACACAGTAAACTATGGGGGCACACGTTCTCCAGCATCCTTCCATGCGGATTGAGGACTGGACCCCAGGCAAGCTCGTGTTCCACTCTGCAAAGGTGATCTACAGAATCTAAAACTGGGAAATGGAGGGGAGTTGAGATGATGGGCAAGCTCGCAGCCAACAGATAGTCTAGTCTTCAAAGTAGTTTTGAGCACAGTAATGGTAACTATTGTGCTTAATGGAGATTTATTTAATAAAAATACCTAAAAGCTGCTGCTTTTTATTCTGACCTGGATACGATTTTAATCCAAAACAACTGGGACACATGCTTAGGAAGCTGGTAACGTTAGTCACTATTTTCTAAAACAAAGGTAGCTAAAATATGACTTGAAGTCATAGTTATTTAACAGCCTTCTTAAGTAAGTGATTATAATGCAGGGCAGCTTACTTGCATCAGTGATTTTTATCCTTGTTTTTTAATGGTTGTTTTGGTATTTAAAGTCATTTGACTTGAGCATTAGCTCTGCACAGTGAAAATATGCAAGCAGACTGCACTGGCTAGTTGCTGCTTTTCTGGGATGTTTTTAATGATGCTTAAGATTTTAAAGGCCTTGTTCTGCCTTAGGAAGTCATGTGAGGGCGAACTTCTGTGGCCAGCTGAGCTCAGCTCCCAAGCCTGATTTGAACCAGGCTTTCAGTGTTAAAACGACAGACTCAATCTATTAATGCACATGTGTGTTTGTCTGCATAGTAAGCTGAAATAGGCTATGTGGTAACAGCTGGAAGGCGGTTAAGAAGCTGTGGCTCTTCAGCTGCTAGCTCCTCCTCTCTCCTGAGAGGAAACTTCTGGATTCTCCTACTACCAAAATTTCAGGGCTGGAGCTGCCCCGCCTTCCTAATATGCATTTAACATGAGTGTGTTTGCCCTGTTACCGCACAAAAGGAGCTCTTCTCTGTGTCCTGTACTGCTTTACCTGTACCTGTTCTCAGCATGGGTGAATGGGTTTTCTGGGCAGATCAGAGAGGTGGAGAGCGATGATGTGGTTGAGACACTGGCAAGTATGTATGGTATCTGTACAGTGTCCTGCATCTTTTCCCCAGAGGCTTGAAGTAAGTGTATTTCTTTTTATACATCTGGCAGCAGAGCAGTATGCGTGATAGGAAAAATGGGGAAAATACCTCACACCTTGTGTGGTGAAGTTAGCTCCAGCTTACAGCGAAACCCCGTCTGTTGCTTTGGGCAACAGCTGGAACATGCTGAGCAGCTGTTTTGTGGCTGCGTTTTATGTTTGCCTCTCTCAGAGGGCAGAAGCTCTCAAAGGCACCATAGATGCTTTTAAAGATCTGCCAACAGAATTCGAGTACTGGTGTTGCACTCAGACGCAACACATTGAGCAGTTTCCAGTCAATTTAGAACTGCAAGTCAGACCGCGTGTCATTGAGCCCATGTGCAGGACGTGTCTTTGAGGATCAGGGTCACATCCCTCAGGTTATGTACCGTGCAAGGGGCACGCTGGATGCTGTCTAAGCCCTTGACTGCCTGGGCTTCAGATATTCTTTCCAAATGGACGCTTTCCCTAGTAGAGGCGAGGCGGCTGACATTTGAATGTGAGCACAGGCGTCCTCGGGGAGCCCACTGAGGGTGTCCTCGGTAAGCAGCTTCTTCCTGGTAACAGCGGGTGGGAGCTACGTCATCCTGAGCTGAGGGACTTGACGATGAACAGCCCGGCCATGGCCAGCTGGTGACTGTTCAGCGCCGGTGATCTTTCATCCCTGTTGTCCAAATCGGACCGAGCCTATCTGTGGGTGTTCTCTGTGCCTCACATGTGCCTGGAGCGCTGATCTGCATCAGCTGATGAGTTAGAGGCAGCAAAACAAACGTGATATTTGATAACGACAATAAAGGTAATGCAGATAGGCTACATGACGTGACTGTAATTAGCAGAGGAACTGCTGGGTGTAGAGAAAGAGATGACTAAATCCAGGGATGCCATCTCTCCATCTGTGGTCATTTTCTTGCCAGCTGGGTATGGCCAGGGAAGTTGGTTGTGGGTCCATATGTTTAAATTGCCTCTGACTTTGCTTTTCCAGTTATGTGACCTGCCTTTAGAAGTTGTTAAACTGTTGTGCTTGGAAGAGGATTGGAAATCTGGCAGGCAAAAAGTGCCCTGGGCGAGAGAAGCGCCTCTTGCATATGCAGTGATGTTCTGTGCCAGGTTAGTAAAGTGAAGCTTAGGAATACTTGTTTTCCTCGATAGCTTAAGCAAGAAGAGATCTGCCCCCGTGCACGGGAAATGGATGTGTTGGTTCCCATGTGTTCGGGGAGTGTGCGGAGAAGGTTCCCTTTTCTGACATACAGCTCCAGTCATCTCGTGCTCACCGCAATCCAACCTGGAAGCGCAGCACCTCCAGGGATCTGGGGCAGCCCTGTCAGCCCCTGGCACTCGCATTGGTGATTGTAATATACCCATTTATATTATGGTTGTATAAACGGCAGAGCAACAGAGCTCAGCTCATCTGGTGCTGTTGTGGTTGCCCAGCATTTCTGCCAGATGAGCCACTTTGTCACGTGCAGCCTTGCTTAACATCAGCTCTGCTCAGCTGTCACACTGCGAGCTGGCTTTGTCGATGGGAGCGAACACGCTGTTGGTAGTGCTGTTTCCATGGCACGGACCCGCTGCTGCGAAATCCTGCTCTTGGGAGAGCACCTGAGGTTTAGAGGTGTGCGGCGGCGGGGGGAAGCCCGAGGGATCCCAGAGGAAGGCGGTGAGGAGTAGCTGTCACTGCTGGCAGAAGGAGTCGTTCCAGCCTGCTGCTGTGTTGCCAGCGAAGGCGGCAACGCGGATGGTTCCACGTGGCTGTGTGGGACTGAGAGCAGTCACTGAGCGACAGAGATCGCAGTCGCACTAAAACGTGGCAGGCGGGAGTCTGTGTAAGCGCATCGCTGCAAGTCAGATGACTTCTGTCAGAAGTCTAGCAGGTCGTAGTTTTCCTGCTAGTGTAAGTATCAAATAATATCTAGCTTTATGTGTGCTTTTGTTGCCTGAGTGGCGTGCACTCTCTCTTCTGGTATTTCTACCCTTACAGCAGAGAGCAAGGGTATTGACTAACCTCTGTTCATACGAGTTTCACGCTGAGCTCTTGCTGACAGGGCATGGGATGGCCTGCAGTACTGAGGGGACAGCTGTGCTTCTTGAGGTAAAAGCTTCTAGGTATCGTGAAACTGAACAGCACTTGACTTCGGCACTCATTAGAGTGCTGAGCGCTGCTGTAGTTCACGTAGCGGAGATGAACAGACCTGAGCTGTGTCGAACGCATAGATGGGGAAATCTGTCAAAATCTGTATGTTAAAAAAAAAATAAAAAAAAAATCAGTTGTGCTTAAGAATATAAGGTCTGCCCATGGTGCTGATAAAGCTTACTGGAATAGTGCTTCGTTTTGTCTGCAGTTGAGAAACGTTTGGAAGAAGCACAGGATTCATGGGTGAACCCCAGTGGTGATGGAAATCGTATATCAAGTGCGAGTCTTGAAGCTGGCACTGCTTCATTTCACAGGAGGCTGGGAATTAACTTGTTCAATTACCTCTTAGAATTTGTTTGTCAGTGCTTGTGGTACAATAAGATCTTAATGACCTGGCCTCACAGCCGCAAACCTGCTGGTCTTTGTGCACAGGGATTTGTAAAACACGTTATGTCTTTGCTTACCCAACAAGCTGTTTTTCCAGCGGTCAGCTTGAGCTGCTGGACTGAAATCTGATTTCCAGTGCGAATGCAGTGGAATAACATCCGCACCTGCTTGTCAAGGAGCTTCCTGCCTTTTTGTCCTAAATGTGTTTTTCTTGCTAGGCTAAAGAAATTCTTACAAAAGAATCAAATGTGCAAGAGGTACGTTGCCCCGTCACCGTCTGTGGGGATGTCCACGGTCAATTCCACGACCTTATGGAACTCTTTAGAATTGGTGGGAAATCGCCAGACACAAATTACCTGTTCATGGGGGACTATGTGGACAGAGGCTATTACTCGGTGGAAACGGTGACTCTTCTAGTAGCGCTGAAGGTATGGCTTGACAGCTTTTCTACACCAGACTTTGGCAAAACCGTACTTGGGAGGAGTTTTGAAAAAATTGCTGCTCCCACCGATGCTGCCGTTGGCTTGAGCTAGCCGGGTGTAAATTGAAATGCGCTAATAGGCTGTTCTGTACCAGAGCTGACTGCTCGGCCCCTGTTGGCCATACTCTGTTACTGTTTCTTTCCCTGTGGATGGTACATTGCCTGTGTTAAGGAGTTTTCCTTTGCCAACAGGTGCGTTACCCGGAACGCATTACAATACTGAGGGGCAATCACGAAAGCAGACAAATTACACAAGTGTATGGCTTTTACGACGAGTGTCTGCGAAAGTATGGCAACGCCAATGTCTGGAAGTATTTCACAGATCTGTTTGATTATCTTCCGCTTACAGCTCTAGTAGATGGCCAGGTAAGCCTTGGATAGTGCTCCGTTTCATAGAGTTATGCAGGCCGTGTTGCCTGACCTCTACATAAACAGTCTTGAACAAGCTCCCTTAACTTGCGATCCTAATTTTTAAGGCCCCTGTACTTATTGTGAGTTTGGGGAAGAATTTAGTGAGGTGTTAATACAAGTTGATGGTGCAAGAAGGCTTTTAATTCTGCTGCTGAAGGAATGGCGGGGTACTGCTTGTGTGGTTCGTTTTAAATGACTGCTCAAGGATTGGGGATCCTCTCGTGGTACATTAGATGCGAGTTGAGTTGTGGCTGTGAGGCAAGATATGCTTAAAATGGAAGGCGTGGTATCTTTGCTCTCTCTGTATGCAAGGTGCAGCCTTTTAGTTTTGTTTCCTTCTGTGGGAATTAAATTTGGTTTCTCTGCTGCGAGAGTGAGACTGCTGTAATTGTAAAAGAATGGTAATAGAGTTAAAATTGGCTGTTTTCCAAGATCAGTCTTCCCACAACAATGTGCGCTGAACAGATTGTTCTTTTTTTTCCGGAACAGATATTCTGTCTCCACGGTGGCCTCTCTCCGTCCATAGATACGCTGGATCATATCAGGGCTCTGGACCGCCTGCAGGAAGTTCCACACGAGGTAACAGGAAGGGAAATGCATCGTAAACTCAGATGTCTGTTGGTGGAAAATGCGAATGTAGCCTCACATTGAAATCCATTTAAACAGTGAGACACACAGTTACACAGCGGATGAATTGCCTTTCTGTGGGCTAGAGCGATGAACATACATTTGGGCAAAACACACACACGTCAGTATGGTTCGATTACAGCAGTCTGCAAAAGGAGAGCGATGGGGTTTTCACAGCTGGTTTTCCACAGAGTCATGGGACTTTTTGACTGTCACGCTGACTCAAAGAATAGTATTTGGCAGGGGAAGGTGTTTACTACCTTCATCCGCATCACAGACTTCTTGTGAGCAGAGAATCACTGTGTGTGAAGCCGTGTTGTGTCGCCATCCTTCCTCCCCAGCCAGTCCTTTCTTTTGTGGTGTTTCACCTTGTTCATCCATTCTCCAGGACTGCAGAAGCCACCTTTTGAGCTCCCAGGGTAGCAAATGGCTCTTCTATGTTGCAGTGTTGGAGGCTTACAGATGGACTCAACAGCAAGAACAATGCAGCAAGGCCTGCCCAAGCCTTCCAAAAACCTGAAATAGGCTGCGTAGATGACTCCCAGAATCAGGAGGTGACCTGATGGAATGTCTAACTGTGGTTAGGTACAAGGATTAGATTGTCACTCTGGGGTTTTCCCAGTCCTTTGCTGCATACCTGTGTGCTGAAATCTGGCTGTCCTGAGGACCTCCACGTGTAGTCAGTGTGATCCCTACTGCAGAGCTCAGACCAGCGGGTATGGAACAGCAGCAGGCTTGGGTAAATACTGGAGGGTCTTTACTGCCCCTTAGCAACTCAGCAAAAAAACCGCTGAGCTTCGTTTGTGACTGTTAGAAGATGTGCACCAGGATATTTTTTGATATGTGAAGTCCAACAATAGACTGTTTAGGAGAGGAAATTAAATGATTAATACCCTGCCAGAAGGGCTGCTGAAGGCTTAACGTCAGTCTCTGGAGCAGTTAGTGCGTAGCCTCCTACGGGTCGTTTCCCTTTCCTTAAATTATGGCAGCTTGGGTGGCATCAGTCACTCCTTGTGTGTCCTTGGAGGCGCTTACCTTCTCACGTGGCCTTTTTTACTGTACTGTGAGAGCCAGGAGTAAGCATGTGGATCTGCTCTCCATGTCTTGGTATCTCTGACTAGTTGAAGTGAAATGGTAAACGGTGCGTGTGGAAGAGGAGGTGGGAACAGTTTTCTGCTTACACAGACTCCTTTCTCGGTCAGCTGTGTGCGTATCCATTTCTCCGGGAAGGATCCTGACTGATACAGTGAGTAACTAGCCAGGGCTATGTGTGTTCAATAAACTCCTGTGCCGAGAAGCACATGCTGGCAGTCTTCTTACTGTAAACAAAAGATACTTTAAAAGTGGCTTTTTATAACAATCTTGCTAGTGATCTAATGAAGAGCACCTAATCTTTCTCAAGGGCCCTATGTGTGATCTGTTGTGGTCGGATCCGGATGATCGTGGTGGCTGGGGTATATCTCCACGTGGTGCTGGCTACACCTTTGGGCAAGACATTTCCGAAACATTTAACCACGCCAATGGTCTCACCCTGGTCTCCCGTGCCCACCAGCTTGTCATGGAGGTAAGGCAAGCACTCTGCTAGGTGGGGCTAGCGAGACGTAGACGCGAATTCTTGTCTCCTCCATGAGACCTTCCGCTGGTGGGTTTGCGTAAGCTGACACTGAAACATTACGCAGGTCGATGCCATGGAGGGACTTCAATCGTGTGAAAACAGCGAGCAACATAAAATGATGTGCTTTGACCTGCAGTGTAAAGAAGGGGATGTTCTGCCCCCTTTTTTTCCCCCGTTCTCCAAGTAAATTGCCAGAGGGACCCTGTCCCACCCAGTGTGGGGAAGTAGCAGTCTCCTTACACGCTGACTGCTCTTCCCAGACTGCTGCTGCGTTAGACGGGCTGTCCTGTAATACTGGGCAGTCAGATGTGACGGGGATTAAGCTGCCAGTTTGGCTGCTGATGGGCTGTTCTTGTATGTCTTGCTGGAAAAATGCCAGGCGGGTCAATGGAGCAGATGTATTTTTAAAATCTAGTTCAAGTAGATTCCTTTAGTAGTACTGTGTGTCAGAAGTCGCTCGCAGCCAGCAGGCAAGTTCATGTTCATGGTGGATGAGAGCTGAAGGCATGCCTAAAAATCTTGAGGTTTCATTGTACAATCCATAATTTTTATACAAAATGGGTAAACACACGAGTGACGAGTGGCTGATTTCTCTGTAGAGTGGTCGAAGCTAGTTTTGCTAGGTAACTCTCCTTGCTGTTGCAGTAGAGCGCTTCTTTTAAGATGGAGCAGTCATTTGGAAATGCGTACGAGAAGTCTGCAGTTTCGCAAATGCCTTGGGTTGTTTCAGGCCTGAAGAGGAACTTCGGGCGGGCTGAGGCTTGAGGCTTAACAGACCTTTTTTACTTTTTCTCTGGCAGGGTTATAACTGGTGCCACGACCGAAATGTGGTTACCATTTTCAGCGCGCCCAATTACTGCTACCGTTGTGGGAACCAGGCTGCTATCATGGAACTAGACGACACTTTACAATATTCCTTGTGAGTAACCTGCCGTGGGCTGCTCTCTCTTCCCAATCCTGCTGCGTTGTCAGGAATGTCTGATCCTTTCCAAGGGGGTATTTTTGTGAGAAGCCAGCTCAAACCACTCTGGAATTAACGTTGTTGTGCTCTACCTGCAAGAATATCTAAAAATAAATAGTGAGTTAAGCTCTTAATGCGGTACCCAAGAGAAGCTTTTATCTCCTCCTCCTGGCTCTCCAGAGAGTTGGAGCTTCTGCATTTTCTTAATCCCTCTGTTGCCGAAGCTTGATGGAGAGCGTACAGACAGATGGGTGTATGTGTTTATTTTTGGTAGCACTAGGCTTTGTAAAGATGCGTTTTGCGTTCAGCTGAGCTCTGGCAGCGATGGGCTGCCGCCGGAGTGCTGACTGTGGGGCGGCGTTCGCTCCGTGAGCGGTGTCTTGACCAGCCGATGAGTTTTGGCCCCTGCGGATGCTTATTGTGGGACGGGGAGGGTTTTACATGGGAGTGGCTGGGCTGAGTAAAGCAAGAGCAGCAGGAGAGCGAGTCTGGTCTTTATTGTGACATGGGAGAGTAGCTTGTGGAGGAGGGGAAAAGATCCCTTTTCCTTTCCCGCAGCCTCCAGTTTGACCCAGCGCCGCGTCGCGGAGAGCCTCATGTTACCCGTCGCACCCCAGACTATTTCCTATAAACCTCTGCTGGCCGTCGCAGCAGGAAGGCCGGGTGTACCTTTACGGAGCGACAACATGTACACGTCTCTGCAAGGAATCGGGGTTCGTCTCGACCGAAACATCCCCCTCATGGACCAAACCGTGCCATACAGAGGACGAAGAGCGTTGAGCACAACTTGAGACTGAATTCCTGACAACACTACGTCTGCCCCGCCCCCCCGTCCGACCGTCGGTTTGCCTGCCGTCTCCATAGTCGTCGTTTCTCTCCTGGACCCTGCAGAGGGGAGAAGATAACTCTAACCACGCTGCCCTCTCCTTCGACGCTTCTTTGTAAATTTTTAGTTCCGAGTGTTTAACTGGCATGAGTTAGAGTTTATTTTCGAGGGCGAGGCCCCTCCCTGCTCACCCCCGCCGCCCTTTGCTTTGTGGGAAGGGCTGCGGGGAGCCAGGGG